GGGGGAAGAGTAGGGAAGGGGGTGTGGACGAGGAGGGGGCAGCAAAGTTTCGATTAAAACTGGAAAAACCATGAAATAGAAATAAATCTAATTCCTAACCGGATTTTCTAAATCTATTAACCAATTTTATTTAATAGATAGGTTAAAGAAGTAAGTAGCACAGGGTGTCTCAGAAAAAAAATAATGATAAACTTTTAGAAAACATATGACTCGTATTCAGAAATATCAAAATAAATTTCGGGGGGGAGACAAATTTAATTCTTGAAAATTTAGAAAATAATATGTTTCAAGTTTGTAGTGGTAGGTAGACCATGTATAAAAGTAAAAACTGACAAAATTCTTGTACTTTTACGGATAATTTTAACTTAAAGGGAAGCTGTAAACTGCTTTAATTTCAGTTTCTTTGTAAAAATTACTTGCGTATACGTACTATAGTGACAATAAAGGAAACTGTGAGAACTTGACATTTTTCCATGTAAAAAAGCGATGATATCTTTCTCATTGTTGCTCAGAAATGGCTTTAAAGCTCACTATAGATTCAGATAGAAGTAAATACTTCCACTTACTGATAGCGCCGATTAAAGAATTCATAAATCTAATTGTATAATGAGATAGATAGAAAGATAGATGTAACCACCATACTATTTCTATTGGTTCAGAATAGACAACAAACACATGACTGAATCCTGATTGGATCAGGCGCTAATGGACCCGGCATAAAGGAGTGAAATGAATCTAAAATGTCGCTCTATAGATGGAGAGTGTCAGTAGAAATTGTGTCTGCAGCTTTAAGAAAGTAGTTCGGTCAAATTTTACTTTTTTATTAAACAGAGACTACCAAAAGGGTAAAAACCTTGTTTTTATAAAAAGTTAAGAACAGAGTTTCCTATGACCTTGATTTGGCGACCCTGTAATTTTTATCCGGAAATATTCCAGCTGCATCCAACAGTAGAAACTTAATCGCAGAAATATTACCTTTAAGCTTTTTGTAAAAAATATTAATCAATGATATTATATAATTGTTGTGTTCGTCTAAACTTGTTCACCAAATTTAATAAACTAGACTAAAAGTTATTATCATAATGTCAATTTACAATTTTCTTTGTAGTAAATAAGTTACTAAACCATAAGAAGTTAATCTTTCTTTATTGTATTTTAGGTTTGGGAAAACGTTTTATATATGTAAATATATAGTAAGCTAGTATAAGAGAATGATATATAATATCTATTAAATGCATTATACAGGGTTGCTTAAAAAGAATCAAACTTCAGAGACGACTTAACGGAACTCATTCAAAAAAGAGTAAATTTCCACTTTTAGTTGGTAATTATTTTAAGATGCCAGCTCGTCGATAAATATTATTTTATACAGAAAAATTTTGAATATTTTCAACCAAAACAGTGCTTTATTCTGTAACGGTTATTGAGTATTGTGTGTTATGAAATGTATTTTTTTTAAAAGATTGTTTTAACATCTATAATCTTTTGTTATGGCCGGGTTCGATCATTTACCTGAACCAAAGGAATTAACTCTGATTTTCTAATTTCTATATCTTTGCAACCCAATATTGTAGACCTTGAATATTTCAAACTATGAATTCTATTAGATCAAATAATCTAAGTTTTTTAATATCAAAGATTTACACCATTAGGTTGCAAAGATATAAGGATTAAAAAATTTTATTTTGTGGAAAAGATTTAATTCCATCTAATATTTATTATTAAGTACCTTCTCGATGGTAAGATTTCTTCCCAGAATTAATCTCTATTCTTCTATTTAACCCCTCCTCCCCATCACTAGAGTAGGGAGAGGTAGAACTATCTTTGAGAACTATAGATCTAGACCTGATAGAACCTGGAAAGGATTGGGTTGAACTGATACTGTTTTCCGGGTATACATCTCCATTGGGAAAACTATAACCATGATAAAGATTGTTATTGATATTGGTTTGCGTCCTTGCAGTTTTAGGAGGAGGTGTCGGCCTGGTAAAATTTATAATATTTTCTATCGGATTCTCAACTTCGCGGGCTTTATATTTGTACTTTGTCTCGTTCTGGTTCCTCTCAGAGATTGAATATTTAATTAGTTTCTGCTCCGGGTTCTTTAATTTATCAATTTGCTCATTTTCAGGTTTGAGAGATCTACTGAGTAATCCCAGATTTGATCTTGCAGGTTTGACAGGAGATGATGAAACCTTCTGTATGTTTCTAGGACCTGGAGAAATTGTTCTCACAGCGTCTCCAAGCTCCTTCCTTGACGGTTCTTTTTCATTTTCTTCTGAACTAATTTCCCTTCTACCAGGAGTGTACCCAGAGTAATTATTTTTTTCTTCTTTTTCTTTGTCTTTTCTCTCACGCTCATCATTCCCGACTCTTCTCTGCTCCTCTTTAACATTATTTTCTTCCCCTTCCTCATCTTCAGCCTTTTTATCATTCTTATCTTTATTCTCTAAATCATTATTTTCTTCAATTTTGAACTCTTCAGTATTTATTGGTTGTTCTTCATCCTCAAGTTTAAATTCTTCCTTCACGACAACAGCTTTTCTGCCTTCCCCTTCTCCATCCTTCCCTTCTCTTACCTCTCCATCATGCCTTACCTCTTCCTCTCCCTCCCCGCCTTTCCTTCCCTCATTCCCTCCTCTCTCACAATTCTTCTGTTCCTTCCAGCTCCAGGGTTGTTTTTCTTCCACGGTATAATCCAAACCTTTCTTCTCTTCAATTACGTTGTTGTGTGATTGATCAATTTCTTGGTTTTCTCTTACATCCGGTTTACTGGAACTGCTTTCCGGCTCAGCTTGAGCTAATTGCTTAGAGTCCAGATTTATCTCCAGAGCACTGATCAGGGATTCAGAAGGATCGTTTCTCCGGAAGAAAGGATGAACCTCGGATTCGTCCTCCTCCTCCTCGACCTCCTCCAGGTGTATGTTGATAACCTTGGTCCTCTCCTTTACCAGGTGATCCAGGTTCTCCAGGGACTCGGGACTATGATACCGGATACAATACTCATCAAGGTTCTTGATCTCAACCACACTACACATTCTTGATCATTCATTGATAATTTCCTTGATCATTTATTGATCATTCCTTGATCATTTCTTAGCTTATCATTGGTCAATCCTTGGCCAAACCTTGACCATTCCTTGAGCATTCCTCGATCATTCCTTGATCAATCCTTGATCAGTCCTTCACCAATCCTTACTCATTCCTTGATCAATCCTTACTCATTCCTTGATCAATCCTTGATCAGTCCTTGATCAATCCTTGCTCATTCCTTGATCAATCCTTGCTCATTCCTTGATTAATCCTTGCTCATTCCTTGATCAATCCTTGCTCATTCTTTGATCAGTCCTTGATAACTCCTTGATTAATCCTTGATCATTGATTAGTCAGTGCTAAATTATTCCTAGATGGTTTTTTGATCCTTGCTTATTCATTCCTTGATTATCATGATTTTCCAACAATTGTTTAAATAAAATAAACTAAACAAGATTACTAATATCTGTACAGTTTTCACAATTTTCCTTATTTAAATCTTTTTACTCTTCAGTTTAATGGTCACTGTTAATACTTTCAATTCTAACTTTTTAACTCTTTACTCCGCTAGCCTTCACTGTTAATTGTTTCAATACTGATGATTCACTAATATTGCCAAAGCACAAAAATGTTTAAGTTCAGCGGAGCAGATAAAAATGGTTCCGAACCGACGAGTTTAAAATCTCGGTTCGACTTCGATTTATCTCCTGTGCACCTGTATCCGTCCTGAGATATACTCAGGGTATAACTGAATACCTAGAGTAGCGTGTGCTTTGGTTTATACCTGCTGCTTCACCAATATCAAACCATCCGGTGATCAAACCTTACTCCGGAGAAACAAAAGAATGATCAAAACATTTAAGAATTGATGTAGAATCCAGATTCTAAGAATAGTTGCATGAACCTGCAGAAAAGATTAAATGAACTAATCCTACTCCGCAGAATTAGATTTGAAATTTGAAGCAATTAAAAAGAAATCCAATCTTATTTAATAGCATCCTCAGACTTTCCTGCTATACATCAATTAATCNAAATATTATCATCGATTTAGCAAAATCATGTTTTTATATGTATCTAATAATTTGTATATTGCAGTTAAGTGCTGTATTTTTTTAACAGGAAAATCATTGCAAAAAAATTGTTTGTAATATTTTTTAAAAAAATACGCAATTTTAGGTTGATAAAGAAATACTAGAAAGTGCAAGGATGTATTTAAATGCAAGGATGAGAATTGTCGAATAAATCAATGAAATCTCAGGATTTTCATGTTTTTCTTTTCAATCTGTAGTTTGTCTGACCATTAAACTTTCATTATAGACATGGAGACCTGTCATCGCAAATCAACCACTAAATACGGAACCCTTTATATTAGCTTCTTTTATTGACATACCTTCGGTTTTCATACTTTCAAGCTTCAAATTTTCTAATCCCTATATCTTTGCAACCCAAGGTCAAATAATCTAAGTTTGAAATATCTAAGGTTTACACCACAAGGTTGCAAAATATAGGGATTAGAAAATTTGAGCTTGTGTAATAAAAAACCAACGATATTAATGTTGAAAACTGTTGACGACGCTCTTTAAACCAAAGATCATAAAAACATATTTGACAATTCCAATAAAATGTTAGAATATTTGTTAACTCTTTAAATTTTTATTTTATTTATTTCTGTCGTTTTAGAATTAAATTTTTGTTTTTCTCTTTTTTATCTTTAGCTCGAAATACCTTTCACAATTCCAGTTAGACTCATATTTCATGTTTGATCCATTTTACAACAAAAAAAGGAAATGGGACGGTGCGCATTTTTTACATTCTTCAAATAGAGTATTGGTTCTAATTATCATCAATCTAATCAAAAACTTAATTTTCCAGTTTGAAAACATTGCCTGAGTTTTAATCGCTAATTTAGGGAATCAGGAAATCTTTAGAGTTAAATCTAAGTAAGACAAATCGTATATTTTATTTGTGAAAAATTAAGCTCTTGTCATAAACTCAAATTATCCCTATATCTCTGCAACCTGAAGGTGTAATCTTGTTATATTTAAACTTAGATATTTGATCTAACAGAAATTATAGTTTGAAATAGGTCTCCGACATCAGGTTGCAAAGATATGGGAATACAGATTTCAGAGTTTGTTTCAAGAATTAATTCAGGGGCATTAATATTCAGAGTTGGCTATTCTTTACGTAAAGTTTCAGCGTCATTTTTATTTTTATATTTCTCTATTTAGTAAAATTTTCAATATAAGCGTTCTTATAAAAATTACCTATTCAAACTAAACTCAAAATTGTAAAATCTTAGATTTCAACAATGTACAGTTAAATTTGACACAGTTCATTGTCTGTGTATTCAGTATTAAACAGGAAGTACAGGAAGTACCAATAAACATGGGAATTAGATATTTTATTACTCTAACAAAAGTAATACTTATAAAGATGGACATGAAGGAAGAACTCAAAGCTTTCTAGAACTATGTTTTCAACTAAAAATGAATAACTTATTTTCAAAAACTTTCTGATTTTTATTATCTTTTTTTAACGTATAATAAAAGTTGAATGAGTGCTGCAAAAAGACAAGTTAGAGTTCGTCCCATGAATTACCATTTTTATTGGATCTCCCTGTATTCACACACAATAATAAGGCCTATTATAATTAGGTGTAAACAGAGAGTTATTGTGTGGATATAATCATATTGTTTCAAACAATTTAAGCAGATGTTATATGACCTTGCAGCTTGCAGGGCGAACATTGAGATTTGCAATGGGCCTAGGGCGGGCTAAAGAATAGCATACTAGATTCACATCGGTACCCTACAGACCGATGTCTCATCGGAGATAAATGACAAATCTTTGTTTTTATGGCCGAAGATTAAAAATTGTCAAAATTAAGAGAGAAAGACGACATTAGCTTCCTAACTGTTGATCAGATGAATGTGTTCCGTTAAGTTCCGTTAACAAACGGAAGTATTCCGTAATTAACGGAAAATTCCGTTAAGGAACGGAAAAATTAATTTGTCCAGTTATTAGTTTGTAGTTGTAAAACGGATTGGAAAAAAGATATGAAAAATTTATCAGTTTTTAAGACTGGGCGGTTTTAACGTGTTTCAACGGATTTGCATTTTATTTTACATCACTAGCTCACTTGTACTTTTTTCTAATTTTCTAATTATCTAATTCTTAAATTTTGATAAGTTATTTGCAAAATTGTATTCGATTTTTGCGTGAGAACCTTCAACCTTTGGACCTAACTAACAACACTATGCAGGTTTTTTATACTTTCTGTTAGTCCTTGGGGAGAATGAGAATTGAATTTGAAAACATTTTTAACCTTGTTATAACATAAAAGAGCATTTTTAAGTAAATGAATTTGATACCACTTAACAACTTTTAGATTCAAACTTTAGTTTAGAACCCTCTAAACTTGGAGAGCAAAGAACTTACCTAAAATAATAAAAAAGAAATTAATTAGAATTTTAGAAAAAAAGACAAGAATCAGAAAATATTCTAAGAAACATTTCAAACCTTTTTTTCTTCTTTCATCCTTTCCCTTCTTTGTTGAATAGTTTTCTTCAGAAGTCTGAATATTTTTCTTGCGTTGTTTTTCTTTCCTTAACTTTTTCTTTTTGACCTCACCTTCAGATTTTTCACAATTTTGCTTTATTTTTTCTCCTCTTCGCCGAAATTCCTCTTTGAGTTCGTAAATTTTCTGTTCCTCGGGAGATCTTTGAGTTTGCACCGTAGCGTCCAAACTCATGCTTCGATTTAGAGCTCCATAACCTTTTCCTGAGCTCTGGGTACTGTTAGATCGGGTCTTACGCTTTGGTTTCAATCCAGCTTGAGTGCTTGCTTCGTTTGTAGAGGGTTCATTGGTGTTGGATAAGTCTGATTTAGGTATGTTAGATTCAGTGTTGTTATTTTCATCAGTTTTCCCAAAATCTGAATCCTCATTTACAGATGTATTATGATCTTCAGATGCTTTGAGAGGATCTTTCTCATGATCTGTCTGATCATGAGCAGATTGATCACTAGTAACGTCATCGGGCTTTTCAAAAACAGTTACATGTGTTTTGTTGTATTCTGTTTCAAATGAATCAGTAGCAGAATGTTTTAATGTTTCATGAAAAAGATCGCTTTTCATTGAGTCTTTGTGTACATCTTTACCAGGGTTTAGCGAAGGTAATGCTATTGAATAATCAGATGATGATTCTTGCTGCATTAATGAAAATGCAGCAACTAATGATGATACTGAAGTTTTTGATTCTCCCGCCGTATTTGATACAGCTGAAGTGGAAGGGGAGAAAGAATCAACTGTTTCGTTGAAATCACTGAATCTAGATTCGATCGATGAAGCACGATCTGAGGTTTGATCTTCAGATTGTTTGTATAGTTCTGAAAAGATTCTGTCCACATCACTATTTTCTTCCATGCTTAAGGTGTTTCTGCTAAATTAAGTTATCTTTTTGAGACAGTCTGTAATTAAATATTTAAACGACAATAATTATAATTAATATAAAAGAAAAAACTAAAAATAAGATAAATCATTCCTTGTGTTACTTCCATTGCAGCTTATTTTCAATTTGGAGAAAGATTTTGATGATTCATGATTTCTTAGATCTAAACTTTCACCAGGAGAAATGAGCATAACGTTCTTGGTCCGTTGGACCCTGTGAGGTCCCAGGGTATCCTCAGTAGAGTAGTGAATAGTAAACTCATTTGCGGCTTTTATCTCAATCAATGACGACATTTTTTTTCACTGGAAAAAAATTGAAATGCATGTTTTTTCTGGTTTCTTTAGGAAAACGTGTGGACTATGTCCTAAGTATTTGGGAGCTGGTCCTTTTGGAGAAAAGATTTTAGTTAATTGATATTTTTTAATCATTACACTCTTCTTTCTCTTAAGAACGTAAGTTTTTTGAAAGAAGCGAACAGATTTTATTTATGAATAGAAATAACTTATTAGAAAAGAACTTCTATGGTTTGAGATGATACAAAACTATAGAGAAACAGATAAACATAAGTTTCAAATTGTTAACGGGACTGTGTCATGTAATTTTAAGTGAGTCTCAGTTTGTAACAAGGCATGTCCGATTAATGTTTAATTTCCCCAATCTTAAAGGAACTGTAACTGTAAAGGAATTGAGTCTTTGTCACAAACTCTGATTTTCTAATCACTATATCTTTGGAACCAAATGTTGTAGACCTTAGATATTTCAAACTATGAATTCTGTTAAATCAAATAATCAGAGTTTGAAATATCAAAGGTTTACAACATCGAGTTCTAAAGATATTATGGTTTAAATATTTGATTTGTGGTAAAAGTCCTTGAATCTATTATTTGTTTTAATTGAAAAATCTTTTTAAATCGGCTTGACATAAATATTTCTTGTACGTGTTCACCTCCAATGGTACAAACTTAAAAGAGAATAAACTCAGTGGTAGCGGTTTAACAAGCGTTTAAAATCTACAAAACAAAGCTGTTTAGAATAAAAAATGCAATTTTTTCCTTTCTCTAATTGAAGATTAGATCTACCGATGAAACTTAATTTTTAGGTAAATAATATATAAAAATATG